AACATCAGATGTGCGCGGGCGGGAGCCGCCTGCGCAGCCGCCGCGACCGGTGTTGTCACCGCGCCCACAGAAGTGCTGTGTAAAATCGGACATTTAAATAAATGTGTACTAAAAGTGAGCGAGGGAAGGTCGGAAAAAGTGCAGTGTTCCGAGTGTGGCTATTTTAACCACAGGACGCCAGAGTGTCGTTTCTTTAAGCAACAGCGCGGATTATCTGTCCCGCGCGAGCTTGGCGGGGACGGGGGAGCGCGGCGCGGGGACCAAGGAGGCGGGGCGCGCGTCGTGCGCAGACGCCGCCGCGGCGCTGTGCGACAGGGCCGCGTATGTTTGTTTCGTGGTGGACGGAACGTTGCCTACGACCGTTAGCGAATTACGTCACGAAACATCCAAGGATAGTGTATTGTCCCGCGTCGTAAATCTTGTACTAAACGGCTGGCCAACTAAAATAGCCGATTTAAAGTTGAAGCCGTACTTTTTGTGCCGAAATCAGCTCTCGGTAGAAAACGGTTGCTTAATGAGGGGCCATAAAGTTATAATACCAAGTTCATTGCGTAAAAAGGTAATGGACGAATTGCATACTTCCCATTTAGGAATAGTTAAAACGAAAGCGGAAGCGAGGTCGAGATTTTGGTTTCCAGGCGTCGACGACGCAATTGAACATTTAATTGGGTCGTGCGAGGTGTGCTCCCAGCTGAGGCCGTCACCGCCGCGGACGAAGCTGGCGCCGTGGAAGTTTCCTCCTCAGCCGTTTTACCGGGTGCACATCGACTTCTTAGGGCCGTTAAATGGTCGGTCGTATTTGGTCGTCGTAGACTCGCACACCAAATGGGTTGAAGTGTACGACATGAACACGAACACAACTTCAAATGCAGTAGTCGAGCGGTTATACGAGTACATTGCGCGTTATGGGTTGCCGAACACGATAGTGAGCGATAATGGACCTTCCTTTGCCTCGCAAGAATTTTCTAGGTTTTGCGTAGGAAACGGCATTAGCCATTTGACAACTCCGGCGTACCACCCGGCTAGCAATGGACAGGCGGAAAGTTTCGTAAAGGTTGTGAAAAAAGGCATTAAAAGTAGCGTCATGTCTAGTCGTACAGCGAAGGAATGTAAGTTACGTCTCCTCCAGTTCCTCTTTGACTATCGCAATTCGATTCACTCCACCACAGGTTTCTCCCCAGCTGAGCTGGTGTACGGGCGTAAACTCAGGTCGCGATTGGATTTAATTAATCCCAGAGCACCGCCATCCTCGTTCGGCGCCCTTGCCGATGTGGTACGGGATAGGCAGCAGTCGCAAATTGTAGCCCATGGTGGGAAAAATACATCTTCCTTCTCTCCAGGTGAACGTGTTCTATATAAGAAGTTTAGTAGTAAGAATAAGTTCACATGGCACAAAGGTACTGTATTACGGCGACTGGGCAAAGTATTGTATGTTATACAAGATAATGCAACTTTGAGTACTTTTAAAAAACACAAAAATCAACTGTGGTTATGCAAAGCAGACTATACCAAAACAAATTTAAACATGTCGGATGTTGATGATGTTGATGATGAGATAATTGATGGTATTCCAACATCGCCAACATCCTCCGAACAACCAGGGGCCGTACAAGATAGTAGTGATAGGGGCCTATCTGCGGGGGAAGGTGAGGAGGCATGCTCGCCTCCAGTCACACCGCCTATCAACCATCCCAATGTAACGGTAGCTCGGGGGGTTAGGCGCCCCAGGCAGTCTGATTGATTAGAGTATTATAGTCGTTATTTTTAATTGTGTTAGTCATAAGCTTCTGTATATAATAATTGTGTATTGTGTTTCAATTCTTTAGATTTTAAGTAAAATGTATGTCGCATCTATATGGGGGAGAGATGTTGTGTATGCGCTTGCACAGCGCTTGTTTCCGAACGAGCGGCGAAGTCCGCCGTTAGTGTGACAGCTACTTGAATAAACAGTCTGCGCTAAGCTAGCTATCGTTTTACTACTCCCAATACATAACAATAACCGATCCAAATAAAGTTTTTAAACAAAATTTACGTATTTATTCAACATTCATTACACCCAGTGGACTTGCTTAATGCACAATTAGTGCTTTTAGATGAAAACTTTAGTTGGATACGTAGGCATACGCAGCAACACTGGCCGTCGGCACGCGATCTCGCGTGTTCCGATCCCGCCCCATTCGCATTACCTCCTATCCTACAAATAACTACAAATAACACGGCAACACACGCACACCCAACATACCAACACATAGCCAACACGGCAAATGTTTGCGAATTTAGGTTATGTTACCTCACTAATTGATTGCGGCCATCAACACGGGAATTAATGAGTGCTTTTACA